GTAAAAGTGAAAAAAGGATGATTTTGGGTGCCCATGTCCTACCGTATAATAGTCGGTAAATGTGGGGATGGTTTTTAAATAAAAGTGACTTGTACTTTTATTTGGACTCTTTACGGGGACGGATGGAACGTTTTCCTTTGTGATGTGATGATTGGCGTGGGGTGGTAATGTGATTATCCAACTGTGCATTCAATTACATTATTAACCATGTTTGTATAAGTATATTAAGGCCTAGTTTGGAAAGACTAAATAAGTGTACTTTTTGACTTTTTATGAAATATGAGTTGGGTTTGGGTTGGGTTTGAAGTGATGTGTTAGAGAGGTGATGTGACTTAAATAAGATGATGTAGCTTAAATAGGATAGTGACTTTTTAACTTTTTGTCTTTTTTCAATCATGCCAAACTTGGCCTAATTACTCATCTTGTCTTGTCTCAATAGTGCCATGGGCTTATTAAAATAATTAAATACTTGGTTAAATGTATTCCTACTGGGCATATGGCTCAACCCTATTTAACTTTTTAAGACAGGATGATATACCACCACAGTGATAACTTGAAGTAACCAGCCACTCTGTTTTGGATTGATAGCTCGAGGATATTTTTCTGCCAATGCTTAGAGTTTTGTATGAACACTTGTAAAAAAAAAAAAATTATTTTGTCGTTGTCTTGTATGGACTTAAGGCTTTTCCGTTTTGTGATGTCATCTAGTTCATTGAACTTGGAGATAAGTTCAAAGTATCTAGGAAATGTAAACTTGAAATTGTAATTTCTTAAACCATAGTTCAATGAGAAAGATGGTTTTTGGGTATTTCGCTATGCTTTATTGTGGTGTATTTGTGTATGATATAGCAGGGTGTAACCTAATGGTTGTGGTTACTACTAGCTGATTTAGGTGATTAATGCTTTTAAACCAAATTATGTTCATTTAACCAATTTTGATAAAAAAAACTTAGTCATTGCCAGCATCCTTGAGTCAGATATGTAGGAAAATGTGTGTAGCCTCAATATTTTGTTAGGGAAGCTGATTGAGATATTTGGTCATGTATCATGATTTAATTTAAGGTCTAATATGTTTATTTAATACCAGTGAGGATCGGCATGGCTCTGCATATAAAATGTGAAATAAAAAGAAATTTTATTGGGTTAGAAGATGCTATCAAATGTTTTATTTGACTGAATCTTTTTGTTAGCATAACTAGTAAACATGCTGAAATTTTTTTTTTTTTTTTTGTATTTAAAAAATAAATATAAAAAATCCCTATGTTTGCTTCTATGAGTACTAAAGTTGTGTTGTCCATATTACTTTATTAAGATTACCTTGGTGTCCACTTTTAGGTTGTCAACACCAATGTTCCTTTTCTTTTAGACAATCTTGCACATAAAAACTTTTACTAATAAGGATGAAAGGTAAATCACCTAAGAAACTGAAGATGAGTTGTGTCGCCATTAACAAATCAATGAGAGAGATGAGGCATTGCTGGTCCAGGCTGCTGGGAGGGTGGATTTGGTGTAGACCTAACCTCTAATTCCATTTCCACAAAGTGGTTTGCCCTTGGATTACATGCTTGACACCCTATGAGTAACTGCCACAATATTATATTATTGTCAATTTCTGCTTGACTATGCATGTTTTTTTTACTGTACCACACCTTGTAGTTGTGCTTGCATCTCTGTATACCTAAGGTCAAATAAGCTTAACTCTAATTGTGAAATCAGCTAGAACTCAGCTGATCTTGTGCTCTCAGCCTCATGTGTGTCGCATTTTGCAGGTTAAGTTTGGGCTAGGTCGAACTTATAACCAAAATTATCATTTCTTCAACATAATAAAGAATATAAGCCAAAATTAGGGATTGAACCTCGTTGAAAATCAAACATTTGGCTCAGTTGTGCCAATCTGACCATTGTAACGTTATTATGATACAAATTAAATTCAATGAACTACACAAAAAGTTAAACATATAGCTAGCTACTTTAGGTTTGGTTGTGCTTGGGAGGAGATTAATTTAGAGCCAATATACATTAGCTCACGTTCAAGCTTTTCAAAACCTATCATGCCATAATGGGCCTGAGTTTCAGCTGAATGGGCTGATCTTGTAGTGGTTGGCCAGTAAAATTTTCCCTATACACTGGAATGGTTGTACATGGATACATGTGAACATAGATATGTCCAGAAAGAACTAATTTCCCATTTGATTATTGTATAAGACATTGCAAACTTTTAACTATTTCTATTGATTTCTCTCTCCCTCTCTCTGAATGTAATGAAATAACTTTGCAGGTAATTATCAACATGGGTTCCATGAATAACATCATTTCCTTTGACAAGGTAGAAATTCACCCCTAAATGTGTTTAAATCTTTTAAGTTTTACCCCATAACATTATATATTAATTTAATGAAAAACTTCTTCCTCTAGGATTTTTTCAATTGATTGTGCCATTAGCTATCACTTCTCCCGTTTTTGTTTTGTTGTGTTTTGTTTATTTATTTTTTTGCCACTGCATTGTGTCCTTAAGGGAATAGGTTTTTTCTCACTACTTAACATTCTCAAAGTTATTGTGAACCTAAGCTCTTCCAACCTTAACATTTGTTGTCTTTGTTTTGCAAGTTATGGTGAAAACTTTACTGCTTTTAATGTTCTCTAATGTTATCACATATGTGCACTTCTCTATGAAGTGACTCACCTCTGCCAATTTTTAGGTAAGCGGTATCCTGGTATGCGAAGTAAGATGTATATTAGAGAACCTAGTTTCTTTCCTCGATAACCAAGGGTAACTGTCTACTGACCATTACACTTTCTTTTTTTCTTTTCTTATTTGACTGGCATATAAGATCTAGAATTTTATGAAAATAACAGGATTACACATTTTAATAAATTACTACTATTATGAAACTTTTAAATCCTGGCCTCTCCCTTGTTCCTTTTAAAGAAAGGAAGCTTTAATCCTATTTCTTTTGTCATTGTATTTTTTGATGCAATGTTTTGATGCTTAATGCGATCATCAATAATATGCTTTCTTTCTAATTTCAAATTTTTAAACTTAGATGGGATTTTTAAAGTTATAGTCAAACTCATTTATGCAAACAGCTTACAGAAGAAGATAAGAAGGACGTTATAAACATGGAGGTTTTCAGGTGAATGCTTGCCATTTAAGTTGAACAGTTTTGGCCATGTGAGAAGCATCTGCACAAGCACACACACATAATCACACATACACACACACAAACGGAAAATTTATGCCATGCGTAAAATTTCATGATTATTGTCTTTGTTATTATTATTTTAAGTTGCAGTGCATAAGTGCTTGCATTTAGAGTTTCAAAGTTTTAGGGTGCCTACCAAGTTGACACTAGTATACACACATGAAAGTTCATGATATTAATTTATCATGCATAGGATACACAATAGAATGCTCTTCATCACTTTAGAGAGTTGATTAATTACTATATGGGGAAGAAATATACAATCTTCCTCTTCTCATACTTATCAGAACTTCTCTAGTCTAGCCAGTTGAACTGGTAATGTAGTGTCAGCAAGCCTAAGCCAAGTTGGTTGTACAGTTGATGTGCTTATGGGATATAAGCTTTTTTGACCTACCTGAACCAAGCAAGCTTTTCCTTAACCAGGGTGTCACTACAAGAATTTACACATTTGGCGACCACTTTTGCCGACCAAAAAAAATTTAGTCGCAAAAAAATGACATTTGGTGACCAAATATTAATTAGTCGCGAATGATCAAAATTTTTGGCGACCAAAATGAGTTAGTCGCGGAAATTGGTATGCTTTTGGCGACCAACTACATTTTTGGTCGCGGAAGGTTACATTTTGGCGACCAAAAAAAATTAGTCGCCAAATTAGTACTTTTAGCGACTAATATTTTAGTCGCCATTGATTGAGATTTGGCGACTAAAAAAATTTGTTGGCAAAGGTACATTTTCTGCGACTAATATGCTATTTTGGTCGCTAAAAGTTAGGGAGGGAAATTTGAATGAAATTTTTTTGCGACAAAAATATTTGGTTGTCGATTGTAAAACGACGTCGTTTTGTATATAAAAAAAAAAAAAAAAAAAAACCTAATCTCCCGTCTTTAGCTCACTCTCTGTGTCTCTATGTTGGTCCGCCCTCTCCCTCTCTCTGTGTTCTCTCTCTCAATCGGTGCCACTCTCTCTAGCTCACCGAAGTGCCTCACCACCGTGAAAGCAAAACAAGCTGAGAGAGAGCTCATAGTGCCGAATAGAGAGATCGCCAATTTAGTTAGAAACAGGAGCAGAAGAAGAGGGATGACCAATCCACTGTCGTCGGAGACTCTCCGGCCGACCGAAACCCTAGAAATTGAGAACGGCCTCTCTCTAGTCCCCCGCATGAAGCTCCTCCTCACTATCCACTGTGCAGACCACTCCGTCAAGCCCCTCGACGAGTGGTAACTCAAGCGCTCCCTCTCTCATCTCTCTTTGAAATAGGTGCAAAACAAGCAAACAACGAACCACTCACTCGCTCTCTCTCGTCTTTGCGTTCGATTCGAACCCTAGGCACATTGAATCAATCATTCGGAGTCTCTCTCGGATCTTCAATCAATGGCATCTTGATTTGGTAATCAATATCGTGCTCTTTATTTCTTTCTTGATTTTTCACATGTTTGGTTGCTGAGAAAAAAATTAAAGAATCGTTCTAATTGTGATCAACTCATCGTTAAAGAAGGCAAATGCGGTTTCAGACTCATGATGAATCTGACATTCGAATTCTTGATTCATTTTCTTTCTTTTGTTTCTTAGCAACCAAGCTGAACGCTAGGGTTTGTTTCATTTGTCTTCAATCGTGTGTTTATTTGGGAAAGATCGTTGGAGTTCTGTCACGATTTTAGATAATCTGAGTGTGTGATTATGAATTTTTATCATCTCTTTGAATCGAAGGGATGCTAGGGAAATTTGATTGTTCTTCTAGCTTCATGGTTCTGATTTTTTATGCTTAATTTCAGTGTTGTGTTGTAAAGACATTTTACGGGATAGAATTTTGGGGGAGCTAGTGGATCATATGAAATGCTTACTTGGTTTTGTAAGTGTAGATTCAAATGTACAGTTGTTGCATTTTCTTACTGGTGACGAATTTTTTGGCGGATTGATCAAGGTTAGTGCCTTGGTGGATTGAACAGGATGCGTTTCTTTGGTCCCCTGGTTTCTTCTTCTTCTTTTTTTTTTTTGGTTGATTCTCCTCTCTCCTCTCTCATCTCTCTTTGAATTTGATTTTCATTAAGGTGTTAGGAACTCTCACAAAATATATGCACTGGCTCAGCTGTTCCTTTTTTTCATGACTGGTCAATAATTAATCAATTCTGTGATATGAATTGATTTGTGCAGTGATATAATAACGTTGTTCTGTGATATGAATTGATTTGTGCAGTGATGGTTGTTCAATAATTAATCAACTCTCACAAAATACTAGTTTTCATTTCACTACTCTCTGATCCATATCATAGCGTTGTTCTGTGATATGAATTGATTTGTGCAGTGATGGTTGGTGGATCAGATACCTTATCATGTGCTCAATGTGGCAAACCTGCCCATCTTCAGTATGATATTATATTTATGTATTATCTTCGATTTTATTCTCAACCATACATTATACATTACATACACACACAAGCACAGTTCAATGTATACTTGGATTGGGATGTCTTTTGTTTTACAATGTAGAGAAATCAATAAACAATTAGGGCATTTAGGAGGATTGATGAATTTTTTATTACTCAGAAATTAACTTATGGAGACCCTTTTTCTTACCTTCCCTAATATTTGAGAAAAATGTAGTTAGCGTAATTACACTCAACCTCCCTTTTGGTACAGTTGAGCATGCTATTTTTGTACATCTGTTTAATTTGGATTACCTATCATTCATTAGTTATTTTCATTTTGGTAATGGTTTTGTAACTCTCTTCCAGGTAAATCAACCCTTTAGCCTTACTAGACTTCTGTCACTCCAAGTTTTCAAAATTTGTAAAACGATTAAAGTGGAAGCTGAAAGTTTTATTCAATAAGTGATTATTAAATTTATAAAATTTATAAAATTGATTATTAAATTTATAAAATTGACCCAAACTACAAGGGTGGATATGCCCAGAGCTAATGTTCTAATTTGTAATGTAAATAATTCTGCTATATTTTTTTTTTTTTTTTTGGCTTAGGAAGCCTATTCCCCATTTTTGTCACTATTCCTTCAAGAGATACAGCCGAGATGAAACTACAAGCTTGGGATTCTGATTTCTACAAAGTGTCTTGCTTTGCATCCTTAAAAATATATTCTTACTTTTTAAAAAGCTGCTGTTGCCTTATTTTCAAAAAATATATTGATAATAGTGGCCATTTAGTGTCATTCTTATGTCTACACACATTGATACATGTTCACATGATGCTTGTATGGGGCTGTCCACACACATTGATATCCATTAGGAGCTCAGCACTTGTCAGGGGGAAAGTATGAAGGGTGCTTCTAGTGGTTTGTTTCACACGATACATGCACGGGGCTGTCCACTCACATTCATATCCATTAGGATCTCAGCACTGTGTCAGGGAGAAAATATGAAAGAGTGCTTGTAATGGTTTGTTGAAAGACAGAACTGATTACGATTATCATACATAATTAACGTCTGCGAACATGATAAATGTTTTTGTAAATTCAGGATCATCTTTCTAACACACGTTTCACATGGGATTCAATATTAAAGAGATTGATGTTAGAGGCTACATGATATCTTCATCACTGCCACTGCCTGTTTATGTATTCAAGATTCAATGATTATATCTTTAGCGGTATTTTTTATTTCTCTCTTGGGATAGAGCTCCTCCACTTCTTTATATATATATATATATATATATGTGTGTGTGTGTATATATTTTTTTTATTTTATCCTTTTAATGTTTCATTTTATTAAAATAATGTAGGGAGACATGTTTTGTGGGTTACATGAATCCAAGGAACACTAATCAATGATCTTCAACAATGAAAATCTAACGACCAACAAAAAAGAGAAACTCCACAACGCCAACTTAAATGTAGCAACATAATTACTAGAATTAGTACCACTGGAATCTAAAGTATTTTTTTGCCTGCTCCTTTGATCTGCCACTGTAATTTTTACTGAACAATTTTTGTGAAATTTATTTGATTCCTTGGAAATTTTTTATATTTGACAATTGGTGAATGTTTGGAAATAGATTTTATTTTGTATTCCATTCTTGCAATTTACACTGTTTTTCTTAAAATTGTTTCTGTGACTTATGTGCAGTCAGAAATGAAACATTTTGGAGGGTCTGACATTGAAGCACTTAGTCAGCACTTTGAGAAGAGAATCTTGAAACTCGAGGAAGAGAAGAAAACAGTCCAGGTTATATGGAAAAATTTTAAAATTTTCCATTGTTAGTTGTCTTTTTCATCACTACAGAGGGTGATGATAGTCTGTGATAACTACAAGAAGAGAGGGACCGTTTGCTAGCTGAAATTGAAAACCTTGCTACTGCTTCTGATGGACAAAGGCAGAAAATGCACAAAGCTTATGCACAGATATTAAAATCACTGAGACATAGATATTTTTTGCTCTCTCCAATGTCATTATGCTGTCTCAAACCTTTGTCATTATTTAAATGCTAAAAATTCCGACCCCCAACCCAACTTCAGATTTTAGATCTTAAGAAGAAACAAGATTGTCAGCTTCAGCTTTTAAAGCAAAAACAAAGAAATGATGAAGCAGCAAAGGGGCTTCAAGATGAGATAAAGACCATCAAGGTCCAGAAGGTTTGTTCTCATTCCAATGGTTGTATCAAGCAGACAGGACATAACCATGAAGTTGTTATTTATTATATGACTTTAGGATCCGTCATACTAATTTTCCCTTTCATTTGTAGGTTCAATTGCAGCATAAGATAAAACAAGATGCAGAGCAATTTCGACAATGGATGGCCTCTCATGAGAAGGAATTGCTTCAGGTACTTGACGTTTCCCAGTTATCCATGTAACCTGGGATTCTTCATTTTTAAAAAGCAAACATGTTTCACTTATAAAAGTTTTAACTTATGCATGCTTCAGATTTAATTAATCAAAAAGGAAAAAAAAAGAAAAAGAAAGAGGCAAACTACATGCGGTGTAGAGACATCAAACCGCACACTGTTAATCTCCCCCAAGCTCCTTTTCAAGATCATCCTGTCTAGAGCTCTAAAAAGAACTTTGAAGAAGTGGAGTAAATATCTCTTTTTTCTCTTCATGCTTATGAATATATGGTATATAAATATAATAGAATAGAGAAAAAATTGTACATGTTTGGTAAGGGCAAAATACTCTTTTGGTTTAGCAAGCAGTGTTTTGAATTCTTTTAAGCATGTGGTATAAGAAATAAGATAGGCAAATGGTGGTTTATATTCATTTTAGTGTTTTCAGATTGTTTTGTGTATTGTTAAGGTTCTCAAGGTTGGGGTTTTAAAAATGGTCCGTATATTGGATATCATATATTCATGTTGGCCAAGAATTGGTCTTGTCCTTTTGAAATGGTCATTCCTTAACAATAAGTATTCATTTATAATGATAAATACTGCTTCTATTTGCAAATATATTTTATAGTTTTTATTGAACCAAATATGAGAATAACATTATGATGAAATGACGATTTCATTCCAGTTGATTCTAACAAACCGTACAAAGCATAATGACCGTCGTCATCTTTTCTTTTTCTTTTTCTGTTTTTATATGGCGTGTTAGGGTTGAGTGGTGAACAAAGCTTTAATTTGGGAGAATTAAAATCTTAGGACTGTAACGTTTATCTTTATAGTTCTTTGTTTAATGTCTACAAAAAATAAAAAACAAAAAATATATGTTAATATATGTTAATATAATTTTTACACATATATGAACATTAATCACCATCCAATGGCGATGGTTAGCATTTCCTATTAAGTATTCTATTATGACAATCCAAGTTCACATATGCGCACGGAAATTTTTTTTTTTTTTTTTTAGAAATATAGGCAAACAAATTCAATATGTGATAGATTCATTAAGGGTGACCTAAATGAATGTCACTCAGAATGAATTTAGATCAAACAATTCTATATATATATTTTGTGAGTTGGAGGTCATAGTCCAGGAAGGAGAAATCTTCCTTGACTCTTAACAAGGCAATTAACAAGGCACAAAATTTTGATCAGCCCAATTAGATCCACTTGGTTCACAAAATTAATTTTTTTATGCTTCTTTTTTACCTTATATATGCGTAACTGTTTTAAATCACATATAGTAGGTTTAACATATATGACTCTTGGGACATGCACGAGGAAATGATAACGAACTTAGAAGAGTTTTACAAGACGGTATAGAGCTTTCTTGCCCTCAGAATTGTAGGGGAATAATGTGTATAATTTTTGGTTATTTCTTCGTTATATTCATTTTTTTTTAAGCTGGAGATGCTTGATAATGTTTCTTATAGTACTCATATAGATTATTTTGCCAGGTTTTGTAATGTCATGTAAGATGAGTGATTTTGGAATTGGTTGTTTTGTTTGGTTAATGCTAAAAAGTCTGCCACTTGACGCCAAAGAAATTTGAGGGTCCTATATATGGGCTCCTGCTGGTGACGAATTGATTTTTCTCTATTTAATTATGCATTTTTCTTTCCTACAAGTATGACATAATTCTCTCTACTGCAGCTAAAACTACCCTATCAAATTGTGGCTATTGTTTCCGGTGCTTTGAATGATGCAGCTGCAAAGAAGTATGATTTGGAAGGATGGTTTCCTGTATCCAGCACTTATAGAGAACTTGTTTCCTGTTCAAACTGCACTGACTATCAATCCAGGAGATTAGAGATTCGATATGGGCAAAAAAAGGGTAGACTAGTAGTTATATTTTTGGATACACTAGTAGTTATATTTTTGGATGGGTGTGTATAGAAAATATTGGTAGACTACTAGTTATATTTTTCGGTTGATGTACATGGATAAAAATTTTAAACATAATAACAAGTATTTGTTATGTCTTAAATTTTTATGCTAGATGAAATATGTAGTTTGGAATTATTTGTGGATATAAACTTATAATAGTTGCTGATTTTAATTAAACAGGTTCAGAAATGGTTGATCTATGTATTTTGTTGAATGTTCATGATTCAATTTATTTGTTGGTTTGAATGATTTTTGCAAATTACAGATTATATTGAATAAATTGGATGGATTATTATAAATTACAGGTTTATTTTGTTGGATGTTGGCGATCAAATGTGACAATTAGCGACCAAAATTTTTAGTCGCGGAATGTGACAATTGGCGACCAAACTAATTTTGGTCGCGAAATGTCACAATTGGTGACCAAAATTTTTGATCGCGAAATGTCACAATTGGCGACCAAACTAATTTTGGTCGTAGAATGTCACAATTGGCGACCAAAATTTTTGGTCGCGAAATGTCACAATTGGCGACCAAACTAATTTTGGTCGTGGAATGTGACAATTGGCGACTAAGAAATTTGGTCGGCAAAAGGTGACTTTTTGCGACCAAAGTGTTTTAGCGACAAAATGGATTAGTCGCAGTAAATAAATATTTAGCGACCAAAAATCTTAGTCGGCAAATGTAACTTTTCCCGACCAACAAAAATTTTGGTCGCAAATTACTTTTGCCGACCTCAATTGGCGACCAAACTAGTGACAAAAAAAATTGGTCGCGGATAACTTTTGCCGACCAAAAATAGACTTTTAGCGACCAATTTTTTTGTTGCCAAAAGTGTTAATTCTTGTAGTGTGTTGTGGTGGCCCAGTCAGTTCTTAAACTCTCATACTGCTTTTTTTATTTTTTCCTTTAACATGTGATTAGTAAGGTTTGAACTCAAGTAGGGAGTGTAATAGCTTAATACATCCACTATTAACCTGGATGAACTTATTACTGGAAGGTTGTGATGTGGTTAGCTATCATTTTGCTTGATTGACTATGAAAAAGATTGTGTATATGTGAAAAGATTAGGAAAATACATAGACATGCATACCCATATGCACACAAGCTTGCTCTTTTGTCTCCTTAATACAAAGCACCTCAGCATTTATATGCCTTCCCTTCCTACCCTTGACCTACATTGATACCTTAGTGTCGCCTGACATTGCTGACATTACTAAAACATATGTGATTCGGCCATATGAGTGCAACTATCACTACCCATTAGTGTGGCTTTAGGAACACATGGGCAACTGGGCACTTGAGGCCTAGTCAGTCATATATTTCTTGAATTGATTTATTCTCTAATGACTATGATTGGACTTGTGAGTTATGACAAATGAAGCTCCTACCAGTCCCACAGTCTTGTTAGTCCTTGTGAAGGACATTGTGTGTGTCAGAATCTACAAAATTGGATGTTCCATGCCTAATGATTGGGGACATCTGTTGGCACTAGTGAAGTATTTGTACTAGTTTTGTAATGAAATGCTTGATTCTTGAATTAAATAATACTTTCTATGATCTGTGGAGTCATCATCTGCTAGTTCAATCTCATATATGCTATAAGCTCTATGTTTACTCTTACATGAGATGTTCATTATGAATGTGTATGATCATTGGTTCATGCTTTATTTTTATTTTATTACTTTGGATTGTCCAATATTTTCTTTGTTGCAACACGTTGCTTTAAAATAAATAAATAAATAAATAAAATTTCTTTATAACTTATAGGTGAAAATGAGAAACTAAATAGTATCTAGTACGTTGGTGACAATCAATGTTGGATCGTGTTACTTGAAATATTAAATAAGTGCCTTGTATTTTTCTTTCTGTGATATATCTCATTATTTCTTTTTGTTGGAAATATTAAATAAAGTAACTCACTAATTTATCCTAGGATTAACTGTCATTTCCATTGTTTTTGTCCATTTTCTTGAAAGGTCTGGATTTATTTAAATGATGGGGTTTATCATGGATATCTCCTATTGATTTCAGAAGGTTAGTGAGATGGTGGTTTGTATTTAAATTGAATGGCTTGAAGAAATAAATCTGCGAGTTACTACTCTTCGCAATTTTATATAGTCTTCTGATTCAATGCAACAACTCTATTTCTCATAATGAACTTGCAGAATGGAGGAAGTTGCTGACTTAATTCTAGTGAGAACTATGCACCAGGTGAAGGCCTATAAGGAGATAAAGGAGTACTTTTGTCAATCAAGTAGGAAAGTATAAGTTGTAATTTGGCTATGAGATCTGGTGATTTTATTAGAGATATTAAGAAAGTTTTGTAGTGGTCTTCATGTATTCATTTTTTATTAATTTCTTGTATATACTTTTGAACATTCAACTTTTATTTATGAAATATATGACATTATTCTATTCAACGTGGTGTTAATTCAAAGAATAGTATATAGTGTGTATTATATTCTTCAAATGTATACAAAAATAATATTGATTATTCTTCAAATATGTCGAACCCCTTTTTTTATCACACGTATTAACTGTGATAAGAAATACATATAACGTGTGATCTTATCTCATTATTAATCACATGTTTTATTAAATATTAATCACGCTTAAAATATGTGATCTAAATGTTTATT